CATGGTCAGTCCACTCCTGGACCGCAGGTATCACAAGCCAGGACCACATCCTTATCTCGTGCCTGCAGTGCCCAGTGCGGTCCCTACCACAGGGTCCCCCTCAGGAACATGATTGTGGGTGAGCTCTGCATCCAAGGCTTCCAGCTCTGGCTGGGCCAGGCCCCCTGGCAACTCCCAGGTGCTGTGTTGGCTTGAAATTTGGGGTTCAGGGTGGGGCTGATGGGTAAGTTTGGGTAGAAGTGCTTTAACTCTTTAGTGCCCAGCAAAGCCTTTCAGCAACTGGATACTATGGGGTCAGGAATCCTACCAGCTCTTGGGTTGTGAACAAGTGGCCTCCCCACCAAACCTCATTTTCTTCACCTGTAAAATGTAGATAAACTGGACTCCCAGAGAGTTCAGAGACAGAGAGGCTCAGCCTTGGCTTGGTCTGCTCGCCCCAGTTCTGCCCACGTCTCATGTGACCTCAGGTAGGCTCTGCCCACGGTGGGCCTCCATTTCCCCCACTGCACGCAGCTTGGCCTGGTGCTTGGAACTGCTCAGCCCTGCATCCAGTACCCTCCTGCCATGGTGGGTCACCTTGCCCATTACCGACCTGGCCAGCCCACCTGCCCTGCCCCTGCAGCCACCACCCCAGAAAGATCAGTAAGGAACAAGGCTTGTGGGGCACAGCGGCAGGGGGCGGGTGGTGTGGGGCCCCACAGAGCTGCTACCACCCTCCCCCCCTGCACCTGCAGCCGGAGAAAGCCGGGAGACGCCCCGGCCACACGTGCTGCCCCGCACATGTCTGTGCCTGGAGGACGGACGGAAGGTGGGTGGGTGGTGAGTATGAGAAGCAGTGACGACCGAGGGGAGACAGATGGACGACGGGGGCGGGCGGGTGAGCCCGTTACTGGTGGGGGGCCAGCACTGGGGAGGGGTGTGAGTGCAGCCGTGCCGGGGAGCTTTGACCCTCTGTGGTGTTCCCCACCCCCGCCCAGAGCTATTTCTGGCTTCGCTGTGCCGAGCTGTGGCCGCCTGCTCTGCCCGTAACCGCGGTCTGTGACATGACCCTTCACGGGTCCCGAGCCGGCGGATGTCCTAGCTGGGCTGCAGCCACTGGCTCCTTCACAGCCTGCTGACCCCAGCCTCCTTGGGGGCAGGCAGCAGCTCAGAGCCTCCCAGGACATGTCCACCTCAAGCCGCCAATGGCACAGGACCCCTCCTGTGCCGCCAGAGCCTGTCCCGCCCTCACAGCCCAGGCCCATTCCTTCCGTGGCCACACAGGGGCCACTGTTCAGCCTGGGGCTGGAGGTGGCCCTGTGTCTCCTGTGCTCGCCCGCCTTTCCTCCTGGACCGGCTCCAGGTGGGAACAGGCCATGGCGTAACTGCTCACTGCCTCAGTTTTCTAATCTGTAAAATGAGCTCATGATACCTCCCCAAAATCTGATTCTTACACAGCTCTGACTCACACTTTTTTTATACCAGCTGATGGACCCTCCTAATGACCCCTGAAGTGGGTGTTACAGCCACCCCATAGCAGTGGGGAGGCATTGAGGCCCAAAGGCTCCGGGCCTCCAAGGCTGCCAGCCTAGCGCCATTGCCATGGCCTCACCAGTGGGGACAGAGGCGTCCCCATTGGACCTCAGGGCAGCTGTAACCCTGCAACCTCAGCCCAGGCTGGGGGCCCTGGGAGTGGTGGGGGCCAGGGAACACACCAAAGACCTCCTGTGCCTGCAGCCTCCTGCACTCCCTGTTTCTGAGCTGCTGACCTCGGCCGCCGTCTGCCCACCGTCCACTGGCTCCTGCGGGTGAATCCCGAGAAGCCTCCTGCCCCTCCTGGCTCCCCTCCCTACTGCTCCCCCGCCTCCTCCCCGCTCCACCTTCCTTCCCGCCCTCTGCAGAGACCGTGGAGTGAACCCAGGCCCTTTGCTGCCCAGGAGCTGGGCAGGTGAGCAGTGCAGATGCCCTGGGGCCACGCCCAGGCCTGATGCCTCCAGCCTCCTGGGCCTGAAGGAGAGGCCCTGAGCGGTCTGGTGACTGTCCCCCAACCCCCAAGGCAAGAGTATCCGGTCCTCTCCCAGCCGCAGCACTCGTGCCCCGACCACTGCTCCAGAGCAGACGTTCCCTGTGTGACCATGTATGAGAGCCAGGCCGGCAGGGCTGTTTCCTTACCACGTATGCCAGGAGGCAAGCCCCCGCTGGGTGCAAATAGGAGGTGGGGCTGGGGAGCAGGTGGCCAGCTAGAGCCAGTGGGCAGCTTCAGGGAGAGAAAGGAGAGGCAGGTGAGGCAGGGCCCTGCCTAGGGGCCCCTGATGAGTGGACGGGATCAGTGAGGGAGCAAACCTGGTGGCTAGAGAGTGGCCGGCAGGCTCAGGGGGCTGTAGAAGCCAGGGAGGTCTGGGCCTGGTCAGGGTGGTGGGGGGCGATGGACTGAGAGGATAGGCAGGGGGATGGGATGGGGGCCATGGATGGGGAGGCCTTTTAGGTTGGGCAGGATTAGGTGAGTGATGGGGTCCACCCCTGGGCTGGGGCCGAGGAGATGCCCTCCCACTACCTGGCAGGGGCCTGCTTTCCGGAACCCCTGCTGTGAATGTGCGCACATGCCGCAAAGTTGGGTTTGATTATCTCATAAAAAGATGCCCCCTCTGCTTGCTCAGCAGAGGGGTTGCCATGGAGACCAGCGGGCAGGCCCCAAGAGGGGCCAGGCTGGAGCCAATTACTGTGGCCAAGGCAAGGGGAGAGCCCACCGCCGGCCGCCGTGCTGACAGCAGGGCCCCTGCGGAGGGACCGACACTCAGAAGTGGGTTTCTAAAAGGCAGTTGGCTCCGCGGGAGCGGCTATGTCTGCGCTTGAGGCCGCTTCCTGGCAGGGCTGTGCCATGTGGCCTCTCTGACACTCGCCCCCACGGCGTGGCTCAGGCCTCATGTGGGGCAATCGTAAAGTGGGCAGGGCCCCGAGCCCATGGCTTCCGGCCTTCTGGAAGCCCAGGTTTGGGGAGGATGGAGGGGTCGGCCATTCTGGCGGTCAGCTGACCCCAGCAACAGCCGAGCTCACAGCCCGTGGCTTCAGGCCTGGGAGCCATGGGTCAGGGTACAATGGTAGCCCAGTTCGGTCGGTGACGTGGCTGCTGACATAGCCAGGTTGGTGGTGAGGTCCAGACTCTGGCCGGGGAGTACCGGGGCCCCCAGCGCACTCGCCCCAGGCAGTCCTCTGGGGCAGGCAGTACTGCTTTCATAGCACGCGGACGTACCGTGACAGCCATGAGGTGTGGTGGGGGCTGCACAGTCAGGCCTGGCTGTCCAGAGAGGCCCACACAGAGAGGGCCGGGAGAGGCTCCCAGCAGTTTAAATAGAACAGCGGGCTGAGGTGCCCCCTCATGGCCTCCTGTGCGTGGCCAGCCCAGAGAGGGGCGCCCAGGGCTTAGGGATCCTGGGGCTGCCATGTCCCCAACAGCCCACAAATGGCCCAGCCCTGGTGGCCAGCAGAGCACAGGGGACAGAGGGGGCCCCTAGGCTGTGGGGAGGACGTGCTCCTTGTGACGGCGGGGAGGGCCGGGCTTGCTGAAGCTCTGGGCTTGGGGTGAGCATGTGCACGGGCCCAGGCAGAGGACCTAGTTAGTGGGCAGGGGGCCCCAAGGTCATGGTTCTGGGTAGGGGAAGCTGGCCTGTGGCCCTCTCCTTTCTCCCTTCTGGCTCCAGCTCCAGCACTTAGCTGGCCTCGTGTCTGCAGAGTCCTGCTCTCAGCTAGCTGCCAAGGAAGGTGTTAGCTGTCAGCGCAGGTGGTAGCTGATAACTGGAGTGTTCACTGATAAGCCATAACCCTCCCAGGGTTTCACATTTTAATAGACTCACTCCTGAAGGCAGAAAGAGTCTTCGGCATTCAAAGAGGTGGCTCTAACGGTGGGCTGATAGGCTGTGAGCTCAGTACTGGGCATATGGCCCTGCTGGTGAGACCAGGCTGGGTTCAGCACCCCAGGAGGGGTCCTGCCTGGCCTGGTCTTCAGTGAGGCCCCAAGATGGGGAGGGAAGAGGGGAGATGCACCCCTGGGGCTGGGGCGGAACCTGCTGGGAGCATGTCTGGGCAGGAGGGTTGAGGGCAGCTGGGATAGGCAGAGACTGGCTGGGAAGGAGCGAGCTCCTTGCCCTGAGGAGGAGATCAAGCAGAGAATGAGGCCGAGGGGCGGAGGCTGCAGGAGGTGTCCCTGTAAGGACAGTGTGGGGGAGGGAGCAGCCTGCCTGGAGTGGCTACTGGGGCAGGCTGCATGTGTTCCCCGACCCCCAGCCTGGGCCCACCTGCCCTCTTGTCCCTGCCTTCGGCACTGGCTCTGATTCTATGATGACCGAGTTGCTCCTGCGCCTAGGGTAGCTGGGGCAATTTCCCGGTGGGCGCCAGACCTCCGCAGGAGGGCCACGGACGGGGCTGTGGGTCCTGGCTCCACCAAGGCCCATACAGTTCCTTCATTAAAGTACAGCTCCCCGAGGTGGTGATGCCCCCTCAGAATCCAGGCAGCCCTGGGCCTCAGGGGTTCCAGGGGGCCTGGGCAGGGCACAGGGTCTGAGCTGCAACCTCAGTTGAGCTAAAGCTCGAGCCAGCCTTGTCCTCGAGTGTTTGCCAGGAGCCTCTGTCCAGCCAGGCCTGTGGGCTGAAGGGGCAGAGACAGGCTAGGACAGCACTGGGATGGACAGGGACAGTGGGCAGGCCCAAGAGGGCTGGCTCTGTGTTAGCTAGAGTCCCGAGGAGGTGTCTGCAGGCTTGCACGTCTGTCCCAAGAGGCCTTCACGTGTGCCTCGGTCGTGGGGGGTGTGGGCCTGTTAGCGCGTGTATGTTGGAGCACCAGGCGGGGTGACGTGGGTGTGTGCAGGTGGGTTCCCCATGAGAAGTATGTGACCCCTGGCTGTTTTGATGCAGCAGTTTCTGCATGTCCAGTGAAGCAGGGATCACAGCACCTGAACTCCTAGGGCAGCGGTGCATCCTGGGCTCACCCCAGCCTCTCAGGGCCCCCTGCCCACTAACCACCCTCTGCTCTGCCTGCAGGGAGCCAGCTGCTGGCCTGGGTGCTGTGGCTGCAGGCGTGGCGGGTGGCGGCGCCGTGCCCAGGTGCCTGCGTGTGCTACAACGAGCCCAAGGTGACCACAAGCTGCCCGCAGCAGGGTCTCCAGGCCGTGCCCGCTGACATCCCAGCCGCCAGCCAGCGCGTCTTCCTGCATGGCAACCGCATCACATACGTGCCAGCCGCCAGCTTCCGCGCCTGCCGCAACCTCACCATCCTGTGGCTGCACTCGAATGCGCTGGCCCGCATCGATGCCGCCGCCTTCACCGGCCTGGCGCTCCTCGAGCAGCTGGACCTCAGCGACAATGCACAGCTGCGTGCTGTGGATCCCACCACGTTCCACGGCCTGGGCCGCCTGCACACGCTGCACCTGGACCGCTGCGGCCTGCAGGAGCTGGGCCCCGGGCTGTTCCGTGGCCTGGCCGCCCTGCAGTACCTCTACCTGCAAGACAACGGGCTGCAGGCGCTCCCCGATGACGCCTTCCAAGACCTGGGCAACCTCACACACCTCTTCCTGCATGGCAACCGCATCCCCAGCGTGCCCGAGCGCGCCTTCCGCGGCCTGCACAGCCTCGACCGCCTCCTGCTGCACCAGAACCGCGTGGCCCGCGTGCACCCGCGCGCCTTCCGTGACCTCGGCCGCCTCATGACGCTCTACCTGTTTGCCAACAACCTCTCTGCGCTGCCCGCGGAGGCCCTGGCGCCCCTGCGTGCCCTGCAGTACCTGCGGCTCAATGACAACCCCTGGGTGTGCGACTGCCGGGCGCGCCCGCTCTGGGCCTGGCTGCAGCAGTTCCGCGGCTCGTCGTCCGAGGTGCCCTGCAGCCTGCCC